TTCTTTTCTTTTCTTATCTTTTAAAAGAATAAAAATTTCACAAACTTTGACATGCAACAATTGATCCTCTTCACTGATACGTGATAATTTCCTTTCACGAGCCGCTTCAACAACAGCTGACTGAATATCCAATTTTTTCTCACCAAGTTGCATATCTTTCAACAATCGTACCCTTTCCTCCATTTTCATTGTTCGTTCATATGTATATTCCGAAATATCTGAATCTGGCTGCAAAAAAAGGAAAAAACAAATTGATTGGTAAAAATTACGGGCAAAAATTTGAGAATGTGAAAATTAGAAATAATAGTTTGGAAGGTAAAGAACAAAAAAAAAAAAGAAAATTATAATGGAAATTCAAAGGTTTTATTTAGCAAATATTACAAAATCAGTAAATATCTTCTAAAGATTGGTTAATCAAAAAAAAAAAAGAAAAAAAAAGTTCAGGTATATCATAACGAAAGTGAAATGAACGAAATACAATATAAGAAATGATATGAGAAATTCGATAATTTATTATTAATTTCATCAGAATACTTATTCAATTATTGTATGTGTCATATTTTCTGATTATGATATACTATGACTTAAATATGCTAATTAATTGATATTAATTATGATATTTAAAGCTAATAAGCTATACCTATCTAATTCATTCATTGTTTATTCAGGAATGAAATAAATTGAATAAAATTAATGAGAATTTTTAAAACATTAACCAATTCAATGACGAAAACTTGTGCTTCAATTCGTAAATGATATAAAAATGTTTCCAAATCTTTCTTCATATTGAATGTATTATCATCCATTTGAGCAATTGTAAATAATCTTAGACGTGTGTTACGCCAAGTTTTATTTTGTTTTAGAAGAAAAGGTAAAAGCATTAATAAACCACCATCATGTACAATCCACCAAACATCTAAATAACCATGTAGCTGAAAAAAAAAAAAAGAAAGAAAGAAAATTAAAAGAGAATCGTCGTCTAATAATCAAAGAAAAACAAACCGAAATTTTTCATATGTTATTTTAAAATAAAGAAATTTTAAAACTATTAAATTATTTCGAATTCAAAATCAAAATTCAAAATTTAAAATGTAGTATTTCAATTTCTTCTTCAACAATCAACAACATCTTTATTTTATATTCGGTAAAAATGGTATGATAAAGATTGAAAAAATACATGGAAATGTAAAAATATATAAAATATAACAGACGTACTTTAACCTGTGAAGATGGAAATATTTTCACATTTTTTGGTACCAATATTGCACAATCTGCAGCATCCGCTGCACGTAGCGTGCTAACGAAACGTTGACAAACAGTAATTTCATGTGATTCAGCCCATTCATCAGGCCATGCAATAACAACCGTATTATGTCGTAAGCCACCCAAACCGGATGTCTATAAAAAGTTACCTTTTCTAGTAATTACAGAAAAAAAAAAAGCCTCATCAATTTAATACAATCGATCAAATGTAGAAAAAAAGTTAAAAATTATTTAAACCTGAACAAGACAATATATTCCTTCGATAATATTATTCACCATTAAGATATCATAAAATCCATGTATTTTATGAAATTTAATCTGTTGATCCATTTCCTAAAAGTAAGAAAAAAGAAATTTTTTTTTCCTTTAATTACAAATAATTGATAAATATTTGATTAATGAATGAAATTTTGGTAATTAATGAAAATTAATCAAAACTTTACTGAAATTTTTGCAAAACTTTCACATTTTCCTTTTTTTTTTTTTTACAGATGTTGACGAATTTCGACGTTGTGTTGACTTAGGTGAGGAGTTTAGTCCGGTCCTCTGTAATAGTGCTTATGAATATCCACGAAATTTTAACTGTGAATTCTATGACAAATTTGCTTGTCAACGTAGCAAACGTTATATCTATTCGTGCATTTGCATCAACAATCACCGAAATGCGTAATTCCTTTCTTGCTTTTTTTTGATCTTACTCCATTAATCCCTTCACTTGTTAGCTTTCATTTTAATTTAATTAACTGGTTTGATTGTTCCGGAACAGAAAAGCTTTCAATCTCATGGACGAAATTAAAATTTGTTAATCTCAAGAAAAAGATGAAAATACAATGGTAGGAGTTGTATGAAACAGGTGGAAGCGATAGAGATTTTTTCGGAGTTCATAAGCCTCCTTATTTGTTTTAGCTATGTTTTCTTTAACGATCAAATAGCCAAAAGCATTGCTGATCCTGAAATATTCTGACGGCTACATGAAGTCATGTGATTCTACTATTTTGAAAGTTTTGCTCATTTTTCTTTACTTATAGTAATATGAAGACCTGTGCCAACACAACATTTTGCAGCAAAGGATTACCTGAAAAAGAAATTATATCATCCACTACGAAAATACCGGAAAGAACGACCATTTACACTACTGTTGTTCGCACTACCATCATTCAAAGTTCAAGTGAGTATACCCGTTTTTCCTGTTTTCCAAAAGAATTTCTCAGTAAATTATTTCCCTTCTACAGAAATCCTCAACTGTACTTGAGATTTATCTCCCTCGTTAACAACAAGTTTTAGAACTGGTTTCATGATTCTGATTTCTGGATTTAATATCTTGCAAAGATATCTTTGGTGTTCAAAATTAAACTACAGTTTATTTTACATTTAAGGCCTTTTTGTATCTAAATGCTCGAACAATCTTCACCTTTCGAATTCTAACAAATTTGAAATTCCAGCTCGAAACAGAATAACACCTCAAAGGAAATTTCATCCTGGACCACAGTTGTCTGTGCTTTTGAAAGCTCTCTTTTCCATCCTCTCAATACTAAATTGCTATTATAATAGCAGATAATATATAGAGGGAATTCTGGAAAGTGTTATGATGTTGAAGCAAAAAACGGAAAAACCAAATTGTAATTTGCGATAATTACTAAGAATTATATTAAATTATAAAATAACTGTTCTGATATACCGATGGCTGCAAACAAAACGAAAAAAGCACCATCTTATAATAACCGGTCAATACTCAACAGTGCAAACAGGTCAGCGATGGTCTAATGTAGATCAAGTAAAAGATTTGAACCAGTAAAAGTCTCCAACAATGATAATCATCAAAATTCTAACTGAAAACCAAAATCATAAATGTGACCGAAGTTCTTATGTAACTTCATGTCATACTGCGATTGCGTAAGGATATCTCAAATGAATGCAATTTTAAACTCAAATATTTTTTAATTTCATCACAGACCTGGATTAACATTTAAATTATATTCTATGACATTGTCGCATAATGAAATGAAATAGAGAGAAACTACAGAAAACTTGTGTGTACCACTGAAGCAATAACACAGATATGACATAAATGAAAAACATGTTTTGTAAAAGTTAACCAAATGGAAATGTTTATGAGGGGAAGATATGATTCTTAATTAAGGATGTATCATCATGTTCACATTGAAGCAGCAAAATAGACGAAATAGTACATGGAAGTAATTATTTAATCATTGCCTTCAGGAATGTGTAAAAAATACAGAAAAAAAAACTAGCAAAGGTGATAGCAAAAAATCTCATTCAGCAAAAAAAAAATGCTGATAAATGAAACCTGAAAAGATAAAAAGACACAAGGAAATTTCAAACAGAACTGAGAAACCACTGAATATCATAGATGGTGAAATTTGTATGTTTCCAGATCATTTCAATTTGATAGAGTCAACATCAATGCCTGTCATTTGGAATATATCACACATATGCAGATATTGGAAATTTTAAAGTTAAACAAAGATCTTTTATTTCACACTTCAAGTCTTAATTTTTCAAAATAAAGTTACAAAGATATAAATTTAAATTTCAGCCAAAAAGTAAATAAGTCAGTCATGTCACACAAATGCGCCAAATTTTGGACTAGTAAGTAAAACTAGACCGGTTGTTATGATCTAAATGATAGGCTTATACAACAACACTCAAACTAGGAATTCGGTCACTGAGATAAAATTATATCTTTTCCCGCAAAACTATCACACAAAAGAAATGCCGAAATGGAATACAATCAGTGAAAGTGAAATATATAGATGGCACACTATAAATGAATAAATAAGATGCGTTACATAAATAAATGCTATAAAGTTGGATTAGTCTTAAATAAATTTTGAGGATCTAAATTAAATACCAAATATTACAGTGAACAAAGCTTCAGCTGAATACATAAAATATGCAAATAAATGAATTTCAAATGAAAAGAAAAAGTGAAATTAAAAAATCAGGAAATGCGATCAATCACAACTCGAGAAAAAATCAATTGCAGTTAGCAGTGAAATTGATTAAGCCATTGTGGATATGTATGAGAGGGAGACTGTAGTAGAACGACTATATGCGGATATGATAAATTGTAATAGAATGGCTATAATGTGGATATGACAGGCTTTAGCAAAATGATTATAGGAACGATTAAATGAAATGCAAATTAAGATAGGTATGGAACATGGAATTTCACATAATTCTTTTTTAAAAATAGATTCCAACATTCACCGGACATTTTTCAACTGTATTTCAAACTCCTTTCCGGATATTCCGATAAGTCTCGCGTAATGCGGGAATAACAGTAGTAGAGTGACATTAAGGCAGAGTAAGGTATATTCATTTCCAAAAATATGAAATAAATTGACAATGTTTCATCAGAGAGTTGCAACTAATGCTATATAACTTAAAAGCAAATAACTGGAAACTTTCGATAGCTAATTCCTGATTATTCCCTATTATCAGGAAACAAATGGAACCGTAAGAGTCGATCACAGCACCACTTAAGAATACCACATTTCGTATTTTTGGAATTTTAATTGATTTGTTTTGCAAACGAGGGTAAATCCCTGGCGCAGCTACAGTGATCGAAGTCCACTGTCAAATTATTATCTGATAATTTCCGCCGATTTTATTTTGGATTTCACATCCAAAAAAAACGTATCATTCATGAAGGAAAATTAGCAGATTACGACATAACGAATAGACAACAGAAGCAATGAGGGTAGAAGTTTTAGATAATAAGTGCAGTGTTCGGTGAGTCCAGTGAACCAGCGGTTGACTTACGTTGAAGCAAAAGTTTTCTAAAAATATTTCATAACTACTGTCAGTTATCATTTCTTCAAATAACAAATATAATTATAGAATGAAAGAGTTTCTAACAGCACAAAAATCTATATTAAAATCAATGTGAAGAAGCCACGATATTCATAGCTTTTATTCGGAAAGTACCCATATCACTATTCTTAATTACTTTAAAAAAGAAGATATCCTTGGAATTATTCACCATATTCAACGGACATAAAAAACGCGAAACTTATGATAAAATTACCCGGAAAACTAAGACATACTCAGAAGCAACAAAGGTACAAAAAGCTTGGTGCAATTTTTAAATGCAAAAAATAGTCTATTAATTAAGCCACCTTAAGACACATGAGATGAATAAAATAAATGTATAAATTTAATTGAAGCCATCTTATGAAATATCACGTAAAAATTTAATTAAAGTCACCCTTAAGAAATATGACATGAATAAAATAAATGTATAAAATATTTTCATCATTTGCAAGACTAACTGACAGACCTATCGAATGGTGTAATACGATTTATACTCTGCTGTGAATCGAACATCGAGGTTATTGTTGAAATAATTGAACTGAATGATAGTTTCGATAACGATCGTCTTACCGCAAAATCATCTAAACCACGATGTACAGCAACCGGCCAATCACCCATTGCTAGGCGTGCTTGATGTTTATAAAACTCTGCACAAGCCAAACTTTGCTGAGTTGGCTTCCTAAATGTTATGTTCTAAAGTACACACCAGAAATAAGTGACTATTTGGCCAATAAAAAAAAGAACCAATTAAAGCAAAAGCCCAAAATTTTGGCTTCGAAGGGTACAATTTTTTTTTTTCTTTAATACACTTCAATATTCTGACAAAATTAAGCGACTACGCCAACTGACTTACAAATCAATTATAACATGACGGAAAACTTATAAAATTGGGAACGATGAAATGTAATTAAATCAATTATTTGCCTATATAGTCTTAGTAGCAAGGACGAAACGACAACGCTGACGGACGATAAAGCCATTGCTGCTGCTGCCATCCACGGTTGAATTGCAAAACCCCAAGGCATGAAAACACCTGAAATGTTAGATTGACATTTTACGGCAGAATACTATTAGCAAACCACACCTTCTCAATTTTATCAAGGATTTAAACATTAAACCGATCCACACACAATGAGGATAGCTAATTCAAAATTAATTTCAGTAACTGATCAGAGATAAAATACAGATATTGGGCCTCCAAATAAGCCTTTTTTAATGATTTTCAAATTTGAAGACCGATAAAACCATTAAATTAAGAGTAAATCTGAAAACTTTTCATAACTCAATGATGCTGTTGAATTTATTTCCAATTCAACATTTATTACTTTTTTCCCTTGCCTTTTTGCCGTTCATATCCTTTCAGTCGTAAATGTTCTTTAAGTCATGTTCAATAAGATCATAAATTAAACTAAGTAATCCCTATCAAGATTAAAAAACTAAACCTAAGGAAGAAAAACTAACCGGCAGCGACAGGGATACCAATAATGTTGTATAGTACAGCGAATAAAAAATTAAGTTGTATACGACGTGTCGTCCGTTTCGACAAATCAATCGCTGCTACCACATCAATAAGATCATTCTGCATGACAGTAAAAACACTAATCAGTTACATACTTACCTGTATCAATCAATTTTGTTTCATCAATCACTGCTTTCATGAAGGTAATTGGCATTTTTCCGAAAATGGCTTTCTACTTCTCCCAATTCAAATATATGTAAGAGACAGTAATAGTTAGTAAGAAAAAAAATCAGAAAATACACCTAATTACAGATACTATGAACTGAATAATGCTCAACCGACATCCTGTTCTAAAATAAAATTAACTGAAAATTTTACCTTAACTAAGACGATACCTGCACTTTCAATTGCAACATCTGAACCGGCTGCAATAGCAATGCCAACATCAGCACTAGCTAAAGCTGGACTATCATTTATTCCATCACCAACCATCGCTACCCGCTCTTTCCTTCCCTGAAATAGAGGACAAGGAAAACCAGATGATATTTTTTCGCATTCCATATAAGAACATATACCTTAATGTTAAATGATTTCAATTAGCCCATTAATACATATGCCATAAAACTGAAAAAAATTATCTTAGAGAAAAATATAAAGCCATATTTACATGAAAGATAGCGGAAAAACTACTAAGAAATTGAAAAGAAGACTGAAGAGGAGTGCTTGGACAGGATTTAAGCAATAGGAAAGAAATTTAAGTTGCAGTAAGATGAAAAGCGAATTCTCGATAACCAACTAACATACCACTTACAATATCAACATAACATACCAGCGCAGAAACTTGTTTTAAAACCTATTAGCATCGAAACTTGTTTTAAAACTTATTAATATGGTCAAAAATTATTATTAAATTTTAAGTTTACAAATTAATAGTAGCATTATTTTCAAATTTATTTTTCAAGAAAGTGCTTAGAAAATACCTGCAACTGTTCAATTTTTATTCGCTTTTGATTTGGTAAAACCTCAGCAAATACTTCACGGATACCAACTTGTCTAGCGGTTGTCTCTGCAGTACGAGCATTATCACCGGTCAAGAGTATTACTCTGATATTCATACGCTGCAGAGCCCAAACAGCAAGAGCACTTTCGTCCTTCACTATATCTGCGATACTTATTATTGCGACAAGGTAACCTGGAATATGAAAGCGACATTATGCATTATGTGATCACTTTAATACTAATATATCGTTGCAGTGTCTTTTATCTAAGTACTCCGATAATTCTAAACGATACCTATTTATTTAACCTATCTCACATCAATATTTGAAAGTTACAAATTTGAAAAAATTCATAGGAGAAGATTTCATTAATTATAAATATTTCCCCACCATTTATTGCACACATAACAGATATGTGACCAGCTATCTGCTCCTCCTTAATAAGATTTCCAACATATTCATCAACTGGAACTGCATTTTTCATCATCCATCGTTCGTTACCGATTACAACTCGAAGTGGCTTATTATCATTAAATATATCTCTATTAATACCTGCAAAAAGATTGCAATCTAATTTCTTGTAGTCAACAAAGACCATGAAGTAAAATTTAAAATCAAAAATTCAAGTAGCAATAATGATATCGAATATTTTCTATTGAACAAAAATATAATTGAACAAATAGTACGGATAACTTTATATTTTAATACAACGTGATGTATAAAAACAAATCCTTTCTTTTTTCTTCCCTGTAACAATATATGAAGGTATTAATTACAAATGCCTGGAAAATTCCTCTTATAATCGTAATGCAAGATGAATCATTTTGTACAGAAGTTGCCACTAAAAGGATTTAGAGAAAAACAAACAAATAAAAACAAAAAGAAAAACAAAAACAGAACGCGATTAGCATGTTGAAGTACTTGAAGGAAGCAATATCCTACAGCTTACCGTAATGTTCGTTCCTAATTAACTTGACATCACCACTGTTTAATTTAATTATCGAATCAATCTGGGATCCCTCCTTTTGTGCTGTACTATGCAACATATCATCAATTTTTCGCACTTCACAAACAATTCCATTTCCAGCTGATGCATGAAATCGTCGCACAGTGGCCCATTCTTTCGTATTTAACCACTATGATATAAAAATGCATAACTGCAGAAGAATTGTATGAATCAGAAGATGGTTTAGATGAGAATTTAGAAAAGTTTTACTGGAAATTTTCTATGATTTTCTGACAAAAACTCATTTAACATTACTTACTTCTTTTACAAAAGAAGTAATTGAATTTGCAATTGGATGCTCGCTGTTTGATTCAGCCGAACCAATGGCTGCGAATAATTTCAGTAGTGATAAATGATTTTCCAGAATCAACGTGTGAATTACTACTACTCGTGGACGACCTTTGGTTACGGTGCCAGTTTTATCCATAACAACTGTTGTGATCTGGAAAACTAAAACTCACTTTCCTTATCTATATATATTTAAAAACGACTAAAGATAAAATGCAAATGTTTTCACTGAAGGAAATCATTTTAATTGTTGTTGAAAGTTTCAAAAAATTCATTTCTTGCTTAGATGGACCATGCATTTACTCAATAGTTGCTAAAACTTACAATTCTCAAATATCCCAAATCATTGGAAGAGGTTTAAGAAATAATTAGTGCTTACCCTATGGGCCATTTCTAACGGTTCACCACCTTTAATGAGTATTCCATTAACAGCACCGATACCTGTACCAACCATCACTGCTGTCGGTGTTGCCAAGCCTAGTGAACAAGGACATGCTATTGCTAACACTGTGATGGCTGCTTCAAAAGCGCGCTTCAGTATGATTTCCATCTTTGTCCTTTGATCCTGAAAAGAAAAAAAGAAAAGAATTACCAGTTTTCAAATATTTCTCAGCCCACAACTACGGATCTTAAACCAACGCCTTCCCTGAGAATTTAAATCACACATTCCCTAGCAGCAATTTAACATATAGATTATTTAAATAATCTATATCACCCGGGAAATACAATCTCCCCATAAGATTTTACTCATACATCAGGACATCAGTGTTTTGTTAGTCTTTATGCTTCTCTTTATAACGAAGAGAAAAATTTGAACGATATGAACAAACGGTAATATGAACAACGTAGTAGGTTTCGACGCAGTTAAAGAATAACATCAAATCAAACACAGTATGAAGAAAATACCCTCAATGTAACATTAACCTCTAGCAAACTGATATTGAAATTTCCGTTTCAAAATATTCGACACAAATGTTATAGTTTTTAAAAAACTAATGATGGTTACGTTTCACTGTAACATATTCAGATATTCTACATTTTTTATTTCACATGTCAGAAAAGAAAAAAAATTGTACCGTATACTCCATATCCACAATGTAGAAACCAAGAATAATCCAGGTAACAAGTGTTAATGTTGCTAAACCAATGACCAGTGGTACAAAGAAGCCGGCTATTCGATCAGCTGTTTGCTGTATTGGCGCCTATAAAGAAATGAAACTACATGGAATAAAAATTAAAATGATGAAGTAGTGAGTAATTAAATAGCGAAATTAATCGTTTTAGATATAACAAAAATTGGAAACATTATCAAGACAGAAATGAAACATCCCTTTAAAAAAACGAACTTTAGAAGTTTGTGCTTCCCCAACCAAACGTACAATTTGTGCCAAGGTTGTTTCCTGACCAACATGAGTTGTCTGTATCAACAATGTCCCATGTTGATTGACGGAACCACCTATTACTGTGCTTCCTGGAACCTAGTATTTAAGCAACAATAAATGATACTTACTGTTTCATCGGCAGCAGTAAGTGATAGCTACTGCTTAAACAAAAACAGCAATGAAATCAGTAACGCAATAATCACCCAACTGCAGGGCGGAAAATCCCACTCCTGCTAAAGGTTTACTGTTGCATTACATGTCTGCGTTACCTGTTAATGTACAATAGATTTAAAGTGTTAAAGTTTCATACAGGAATCCCGCATTTTCATTTCCTTTATAGCGACATCCTTCCCGGTTATCATATCAGTCAATAGGTGAGAAAAAGTCTTCTCAGTGTTCCGCGACTTTGATCACGTGAAATTTGAGCCATTACAGCAAAAGAAAAAACAAAAAGCAGAAATGAAGGAGTTATGGAAATGAAGGACCTTCTCTCTTGACAACAGGCATCGATTCTCCAGTTACAAATGATTCATCTGCTGCACTTTTACCATCTACAACAATTCCATCAGCAGGAATTTTGGCACCCGGAACAACTTTCAATAGATCACCTCTTTGAACCTGAAAAAATCCAGAAAATTAAACAGTCAAATCATTATCACTTTCATTTGTTTCCATTCAGTACATAATCAGATATGCTTAAACATGCTTAACGTATATCGAAATGAATGTTTTTTTTTCTTTTCAAATCAAAACTGACCAATTCGACATTAATATTTTCCTCAGATAAAACACGTCCATCGTTATCTCGAGTGACTAATACTGCTTCTCTTGCTTGCAGTGACATCAGTTTACTCAAAGCTTCTGACGTTTTACCCTTTGCCTTATGCTCCAACCATCGACCTAACGATACGAATGTTATAAGCATTGGTGTAACATCGAAAAATGTCATCGGACTACTTGGCCAACTAAAATATGAGCAAACTTAAGGCAGAGCTGACGAAAATAATATTATATATTATATTATATATTATATTATATATTATA